TTTAGAACTTTGTATGAACATGCATTAACTTTAAAATGCTTTGAAGCCATAAACTAAAAGCTTTGAGCCCGATGCTAACCTTTTTAAAAACGCGTTAGCCTTCTCTCTAAAGCGCACCACAGTAATTATTATACAGTAACTTCGTCTCAGAGTGTAACAAAGCTCTACTTTAACACTCAGAGTCACGGGGAGGCTTTTGGTAAACGCTTGATACGTAACAGTTTCATTCAAACAATCTGAGTTCGCGTTTAAGTGCTCCGAGACCCTTCAAGTGTCACGAAAAACCATTTCTGCCAATTGCAGACTAATTGAGGACAATATCTGGCCAAAAGGTCACTGTTTGTCCAGGAAATGTAACTGTTCTCAGTACTTCCTGTGAAGGCTAATAGCATCAAATCCAAGCCAGATCAGTAAGCACGGATTGGATCTAAAATAGTACACACGTACACGTGTAGTATATCTTATTCTGCTGCTCGTTTACTGGATTATAACAACACTGGAGAGAATAAAGCAGCTGGAATCCCTTTCTAGTAAACAGATAAACGATTTGCACATAATGAAGTTCAGGCAGAGGAATTAACCCTTTAAAGCCTGATCCAAGAATATAACAAAACAGAAAATTACTTATTTTTTGGTTTGAATTCCTTATTTGGCCTTTTTACAAAATATGTAAAAAGAAAAAACAGAAAAACATTTTCTATACGAATAATTTATTACTATGCGATAAGTCAAGATTATTTTTTGTGTAGTCTTCTGCCCCCTGTTATCAGGTGTATCTGATTGTGTACAATAGGATTTTGAGCAAAGTTTTTACAATTAAATTAAGCAAAAGGTGTCAGACGCAAAACATCTCAGAAACCGTGTGAATAAAATATGATACATTTGGCATTACAGGGTTAAACAGCAACATGACATGAAACCAAATCCTGCAGCTGATGGGTCCCACTGAGGTTTGCCTTGTAGAAACTTTACTGAGCTAAAAGGTAAGCTTTTTATCTGGCTGTCAACATCTGAAGGGAGTCAGGTGACCGCATACAGGGCTGCTGATTCTGATATTTTAATGGCCGATCCTTCTTCTGTTGCTTCAGCCGTCGGCCATGATGGGGAATGATTCTGTTCCTCGTGTGGACGGCATATTAATTAGATGACCTATAGTAACGAGCTGTGCTGCTATAAGATGGGTCTGATGAAATCTTCTCATTATTTATGTGGCCGTTTCCTCCCTTGAGATACAGACAGTTGACAAAAAAATATACTTACTATTAATCAAAACATCAGGCAAAACAAGCTGCCATTTGCTGTTGTTTTTCAAATTGATGAAGGCAAAACATTGTTTGAATGTTGGAAAAGTATCTGTGTTCACAACTGTACTGTGTTATATCTTTAAATTAAATTAAATTAAATTAAATTAAATTATCGAATTAATTGAATTTACATTTAATGTAATTTTAATTTTAATTTTAATTTTAATTTTAATTTAATTTAATTTAATTTAATTTAATTTAATTTAATTTAATT